GATAAAAACCCTGCATATTTTATCTTTTAGTTTATTGTTAATGCTATAGTAAGCATATCTTTGAGTTATGGTGGTATTTCCAGTTCATATAGATCCTTAAACTTATCTCATGGACCATTGAAAGCAAAGGCTGTATTATTAACTTTCATTATGAAATGTTTACAAATTCATTAGAAAATTATTGGTTGAGAGTAAAACTTGGTAAAAGAATGGACAGAATACCATCAACCATCAGTAATTGTGACACATTTCAGTATTGTTATTTAAAACTTGGTAAGAAAATGGACAGAACACCATGAAACATCAGTAATTGTGACACATTTCAGTATTGTTATTTAAAACTTGGTAAGAAAATGGACAGAACACCATGAAACATCAGTAATTGTGACACATTTCAGTATTGTTATTTAAAACTTGGTAAGAAAAGGACAGAACACCATGAAACATCAGTAATTGTGACACATTTCAGTATTGTTATTTAAAACTTGGTAAGAAAAAGGATAGAACACCATGAAACATCAGTAATTGTGACACATTTCAGTATTGTTATTTGAATACAGCTTTGATATATGTTGAACCCACTTTTACACCATAACACACTGTGTGTAGATTATTTAGATATTTATTGGTCAGTTATCGTTATGTTATATGTGTGAGCCAAAAGTAAAAAAAATTATCGTTTTCAAAAAGTTATTCATCTTCATTAACAAAGTAGATAATAACTTGTACATGTTATATTGGGAATAGAAGTAGGAAAATTTTTCAGCCGAACAGCATGTTCGTTTTTGTTACAAGAATTCGTGTTTTTTTTTAACTAATTATTTTGTTTGTCGCCCTCTAGTAAAATTGACGTTTAAACCACTTTATGTTTGTAGAGTGAAAACTAGTGATGAAATACAAATTAATGTACAGAAGAACGTAGTGTATATACACTTAATGTACAGGAGAACGTAGTGTCCATACATTAATGTACAGGAGAACGTAGTGTGCATATACTTAATGTACAGGAGAACGTATTGTGTATACACTTAATGTACAGAAGAACGTAGTGTATATATACACTCAATGTACAGGAGAACGTAGTGGGCATACACTTAATGTACAGGAGAACGTAGTGTGCATACACTTAATGTACAGGAGAACGTTGTGTTTTTATAACCCTTAATGTACAGGTGAACGTAGTGTGCATACACTTAATGTACAGAAGAACGTAATGTACATACATTTAATGTACAGAAGAACGTAGTGTGCATACACTTAATGTACAGGAGAACGTAGTGTGCATACACTTAATGTACAGGAGAACGTACTGTACATACATTTAATGTATAGAAGAACGTAGTGTGCATACACTTAATGTACAGGAGAACGTAGTGTGCATACACTTAATGTACAGGAGAACGTAGTGTGTATGTACTTAATGTACAGGAGAACGTATTGTCTATATACTTAATGTACAGGAGAACGTAGTGTGTATGCACTTAATGTACAGGAGAACGTATTGTGTATACACTTAATGTACAGAAGAACGTAGTGTGCATACACTTAATGTCCAGGAGAACATAGTGTGCATACACTTAATGTACAGGAGAACGTAGTGTGCATGCACTTAATGTACAGGAGAACGTAGTGTGCATACACTTAATGTCCAGGAGAACATAGTGTGCATACACTTAATGTACAGGAGAACGTAGTGTGCATGCACTTAATGTACAGGAGAACGTAGTGTGCATACACTTAATGTACAGGAGAACGTAGTGTGTATGTACTTAATGTACAGGAGAACGTATTGTCTATATACTTAATGTCCAGGAGAACATAGTGTGCATACACTTAATGTACAGGAGAACGTAGTGTGCATGCACTTAATATACAGGAGAACGTAGTGTACATACACTTAATGTACAGGTGAACGTAGTGTGCATACACTTAATGTACAAGAGAACGTGGTGTACATACACTTAATGTACAGGAGAACGTAGTGTACATACACTTAATGTACAGGTGAACGTAGTGTGCATACACTTAATGTACAAGAGAACGTGGTGTACATACACTTAATGTACAAGAGAACGTGGTGTACATACACTTAATGTACAGGAGAACGTAGTGTACATACACTTAATGTACAGGAGAACGTAGTGTACATACACTTAATGTACAGGAGAACGTAGAGTACAGAGTAGCTAACTTTTAATAGAACTCATGTAAAAACAGGGTATATTAAAATAATATTAACCCCAAAAATTTCCAAATCCGACAGATCTTATTTTCTTCCGCAAGAAAGGCAAAACTCACATTAAAACGAAGAAATGTTTAAAATGTTTTGAAATATCTTACACACACACAGCTATTCAAAAATATGCAATATTGATTCTACTACTTTATTCTTATGGATTATTCAGTCGCCAAGCTGTTTAAAATACTAAAACGTAAATGTAAAGCCACTTCTATCATTCTATTTACTACTTGTCACCGAGTTTTACTGGTTAAAACAAACGAATGTAACCTCATTTAAACTTTACTTTCTAGTAGCACAAAACGTTTAGAGAGTGAATAATAAAAATAATTCAAATTAAGGATAATCCGTAAAAATGCTTTCTTTGGTTTCTGTTAACGTACCACGGTTTCTGCATTATATTTAAAGGTTGTTGGTTTCTGTTAACGTACCAAGATTTCTGCATTATATTTAAGGGTTGTTGGTTTCTGTTAACGTACCAAGATTTCTGCATTATATTTAAGGGTTGTTGGTTTCTGTTAACGTACCAAGATTTCTGCATTATATTTAAGGGTTGTTGGTTTCTGTTAACGTACCAAGATTTCTGCATTATATTTAAGGGTTGTTGGTTTCTGTTAACGTACCAAGATTTCTGCATTATATTTAAGGGTTGTTGGTTTCTGTTAACGTACCAAGATTTCTGCATTATAGTTAAGGGTTGTTGGTTTCTGTTAACGTACCAAGATTTCTATATCATGGTTAGGGATGTTTTTCGTTCTCCTAACATACCGATATTTCTCTATTTCGACTAAGGATGTGTTGAGTTTAACCTACCAGTATTCATTACCATTTAGGGTGCTTTGAGTTCTGTTAACATATCAAGAATACTCAATGATTAAGAGTGTGTTAAGCTCTGTCAAACGGACCAAGATTCTCTATTACAATTAAAGGTGTATTAAGTTATGTTAAACGGGCTAAGATTTAATAATTACGTTTAAAGGTGTATTAGGTTATGTTAAACAGACCAATATTTTAGTATTACGATTAAGAGTGTATTAGGTGATGTTAAATAAGCCAAAACTTCAATATTACGACTAAGAGCGTATTGAATCCTATTAACTCTCCAAGGTTTCACTGTCATAACTAAGGATGTGTTAACACTGTTAAAATTAATTTTTTATATAGCTCTTACATTAATGTAAAACAAATTAAGGCACTTGTTTATACTACTGTGTGTGTTTATATTTATCTGACATTAGGGTAACACAAATAAACGTATGTGTGTGTGTTTGCATTTCTCTGACATCAGTATGACACAAATAAAGGTGCGTGTGTTTATATTTCTCTGAAATTAGTTTAACACAAATAAAGTTGTGCTTATATTTCTCTTAAGTTAGTGTAACACAAATAAAGCTGTGTGTTTATATTTCTAAGAATTTAGGTTTGAACTAATAACCCGTGCATGATATGATAAAAATCAAAGGAAAGAATTAATTTACGCGAAGAATGTTTATCTATATCCTAGTTAATATTTTAATTTTGACAGTTTCCTTCTAGGTTCACTCTTATTTTGCATTAAAACAAATACAGTACTTACGTAGATCTACAGGATATTTTTTGTCTCTATTTATGACATCCAACTTCAAGAATAACTGATTTCTAAAGAAAATTGTGTGATAAACTTTTAGAAGGAAATAAATTAATAAATATGAAGATCGTTTGATACTGTGTAAATGCCAACGACTCGTAAAGAAGTCGTCGTAATATCTATATAAACGAAAATAAACTGCTGTATTAATTTTGTTTTCCAGTAATATATAGTGTTTAAAAATTATTGGTTACTGTTAATATTTATTACTTTCCCTAATAAATATTTACGGTCAGCTATCATTTTTGAATATAGTTTAGTATGTTGAAAATAATCATTAAATGGTTTACTGGTTTATATTCCTTACCATATAAGTAATAACACTAGGTTCAGACTTTGGCACACTTGATTTTATTATTACTTCATTAGCTTGTTTTGACATAATTGTTGAAAAAACCATTGCCATAGTTAATTTTTACAAAAGTCGTACTTTAGTACAAAAAACGATCCGTATCTTATTTCAGTATTTTCCGATGAGTCGCATGACTTTTATTATTTTACATGGAGCTTATGCAGTATTTAGCTTTTCGTTGGTGAATGTAGTGTAGATAATCCAGTTGTGTTTTTAACTCACTATATGTAAGCTTATTAGACAATTACAGCAAATACCATCCAACTGTAATAGTATATAATACGATTACATAATATTTTATGTATACATTTACGGTCAGTGATATGATAGATATTATTTTTTTCAATCCTGTTTTTGTAAAAACCGGCACTGAAAGGGGGTGATTTTTAGCAATTGCTATATAATGTTAGCATTAATTGCTTGCTTTGATTAATACTACAGTTGCTATTTATGCACAGAGAGTAGTGTACGTAACTCTATTAACCTTTGAAGCATAGAGTACAACATAAAAACTGTTGAATGAGATATTTTCTTAGAGATTAGTTTTATTGTTTTACTTGTGGTGGTTTGACGCTTCGTTTTTCAACAAAATAAGTTAGTTCGTGTCTTTAATCATATAATGAACTAAACGAAGTAAAAGATAAAAATGTAACAACAGGATACCGATGATAACATTCAAAATGTTGCGTTAGATTGAATTTTACTTTATACTTTACAGAATACTGGAGAAACCTAGTAAGAACATTGGGACAGTTGAGATATTGCAACTTGAATAGCCTTACCTGTTGTATTCACTTGTTGCGCTGGCAACACCGGTCTGATAACGGAGAGGATGTTCGTCTACTGTTTCCCCTACACCAGCTCACTGCTTCTTTTGAGGCCGACATTCGGTGTTGGGGGTGTGGATCGAATCTGTCGCAAAGTTATGCGTGCAAGAAAAGCTTGCTAGCGATTGGTTGCTTAAGTTTACATACGTTTCAGATAGGCCCGGGTAGGGTTACTGCAATTTTGGTTCCTGAATACAAACAACCACCTACTAAAACACTTCTTCAAGAAGCAGAAATGTGAGAACGTTGTTTTTTCTTCTGTAACTCAGTGGGCGGATGACAAATAACCATGTACACCGACAATAAGAGCTTTCAGTCATAAGGACCTCCTTTTCTATTCAACAAGTCCGTGACATCGTGAACATGGTAGGGTTTTGTTTGATCGAGATATTTTCCTTTTCTCTACGGCTTAGAATGTGGCCAGTCTAACGTGGTTCAACAAAACCAATTAACGATACCACAGGGATATTTTGGTATAACTGTTTTAAAAATATTTGATAATTAAGAAAAACAATGATTAAAATAGTGTTTGAAGACGGGACACAATTATTAAAGAATATGTTGTCCCTGGTTCTCTTTGCTAGCTATAAAATAAGTAGTAACTTATTTGTAGCTTATAGGTTATACGAATATATCTGTAAAATACAATATCGAGAAAGAAATGATTAAAAGATGTCAAATTCTTGCCAATTTATACATCACTTAGAGTTTATTTATTGACTGATTCTGCTACAGTTTAACAAAAGTCAACTGCTAAACCTTGAAGCAAGAGTCTTTTGTCGAAGTGCGTGGAACTAAAACCTTCTATTCAAGCTGGAGCTTGTGTAACAGTTCAGATCTGAGTCCTATATATATATATATGATATCATGTTTTCTGTCGTAGTGGGCAATAAAGTTCTCAACAATAGTTGAAAAAGTCCTTTTTTAGTAATAGTAACTAATAACAGCTGTAACAGTTATAATTAATAAAGTCAGTTGAAGCTAAGGGTTAGCGGTTTAGTTAAAACTAGTATGTTCACTATTCGTTAAAACTAACTTGAAGCTAAGGTAGCCAAATTTCGAATCACATGTATTAGTAAAAACTAGTATCATTTATTTCTGTTTAAAACTGTATTATTCAATACAATCCGGAAGTCTCTTCGATAGTGAAAATTGAAGTATTCTGTATCAGTGGAACTTGTGGCTCTCTTCATAGTTTAAACTAAGGCAACTTTTTAAAATAAGAAATATTTTGATAGTTGAACTAAAATTTAAAGTAAGGCAATCTTTTAAAATAATAAACGTTTTGATAGTTGAACTAAGGTTTAAACTAAAGTAATCGTTTAAAATAAGAAATATTTTGATAGTTGAACTAAGGTTTAAACTAAGGTAATCTTTTAAAATAAGAAATGTTTTGATAGTTGAACTAAGTTCTTCTTGTTCTAAGTAAAACTGAACTATTTTACAATATTTAAAACTAATTTCATCTATGGTAACTAAAATTTTAGTTCTTTACAAGTTAAATATAATAACTTTTCTAATCATACAAAAACGAAAATAGAAAACCAAATTACAAAATAGTGAGTTTTTTGAAAAGATAGGCTACATAAAATTCGAGCAAAAATATTATTTCTATGGATACACTGGATGCTATACTGGCTACAAGTTATATAAAACTAATGAGTGTATCACGTTTTTTACTGTTTGTTTATTATTGATTGACTGAACCAAATTATTAACAACTTCTAAACATTTTAGTTTTATGTAGATCAATGTTGTTAACATAAATACAATATTAATCTTGACATTCAACGGTATACAAACTCTTAAAATGATACTGATATAAAAACTGAAGGCAGATTTACTAAAATAAATTATAGGATTACTCATATTATCTTTCATTCAGTGAAAACGTTTCCAGTGTTACGAAAAAAATTATGTAAATATATTTTAGTAATGAAAGCGTACGAGATAAATTACATGATCAGTTAATAATCCAACTTAAACCGAAGATGGAATTTTTTTGTTTAATGTTTTTTTTTCTTTACGATCTTAACTCCAAGCAGTGTGGAGTCGGCTGATATTTTTGTAAGCCAAGAAAATTTACACACGGCAACCATATAGGGCAAGTAAGTTGGGCGATGGGGATTTTAACTCACGACCCTCAGAGTAGGAGTTTAGCATTCTATCCACCAGACCATGTCAGGCCCAGAATATTGAGTTATTAAATATTAATTTGAAAACTTTATTATTACAATCGCTGGTGATTTGAAATTCTTAGATTTTATTAGCAACAATAGACTTGGCAAATGTTTTTAACTTTTTTCATTCGTTACATTATGATCATATAACGGTTAACGGTCTAGTTTTCCACACAAATGAATGAATAGTTAATGACTTACAATTGGACTAAATTAATATTCTAGAAAAAATATACATTCTATGTATAGTATGAAAACGGCCTGGTATATTACTGAAAAGTCATTCTTTTATGACAATGTTTTTCATCTTTTTCAGAATTTTAATGGAAATTATTTAAATCCCTTTTGTCGTATCGCAAGACCAACAAACAACTTGATTATTCAATATTCATTTCAAGACAAACCTTGGTACTAAACTTTAATTTTTTTATCGTTTATCTTGAAAATCTAAACGTTTTTAGTGGAAATATGGTTTCTGCTTCAGTTAGCTGAATACTCTCAAGCAACCAAAATATTTTGAACAACAAAATAATTTATCAAAGGTCTGAAGTTCGTTTGGGTTATATTTGTATATCCGTGTAGTTTATTTTAAGCTACTGATCAGGAAACATTTCAACCTATTTTGAAGAGTTTTTGGTGTTATCTATACACATTTATTCATCATATATCAATTCTTGGACAAATCTAGTCATGTTACTATAAATTTGTTATTTTTTTATCATCAATGCTGTATAAAAGCTTGTAAGTTAACTTTTGATTTGTACTTTCTGACGTCTGTAATGGAGAAAATTGAGTTACTATAATAAAGCTTATAAATGATAGTAACATAATTATAATAATTCATAAAACTATTATTTAGTGAGAAACTGAAAGTTGCAAAAGTTAGACAGAGCTGACGTTTGCCTGAATGTTTTTCATGCTTAACTTTATTTAATGATATCTGTATAAGTGGTGAAATATTTGATAATTGTTTATGATATAGTGTCAGAAAATGAATGCTTTAAAAATGGAATGTTGCTCATAAAATTCCTTTCATATTTTCTTTTGTTCTTATGATTTTGAGCATTTGACTCTCCAGGTGAAAAGTGTTGCGTGTCTTAACAGTAACATGTTTTTATTTAATCCCTTCCACATTTGAAATTTAGTTCGAACAGCTTAGAAGGCGAGAGTAGATTTAACATAGTTCAAGATTGGACAACATTCTCCGGTAATTCTTCCTCTATCCAGAAAGATAAAATAAGAGTTTTGATTTACTTTGTAGATTTTATAAGGAAATTAAGAAGAAAGAACTAAATAACTGTGTCAACCAAGTAAAACTACGTATCATAGGATATTCGCTAATTAAATTTAAGTATGTGCCATTTTCAAGAAAAGGAGCAGTGTGGTGTAACATGAAATATAGCACAGCTTCTACAATGGCTGAAAACCCTTGTGGTGTAACATAAAATAAAACATAGCTTCTACAATGGCTAAAAACTCCGGTGGTGTAACATGAAATATAACACATCTTCTACAATGGCTGAAAACCCTTGTGGTGTAACATAAAATATAACACAGCTTCTACAATGGCTGAAAACCCTTGTGGTGTAACATGAAATATAACACAGCTTCTACAATGGCTGAAAACCATTGTGGTGTAACATGAAATATAACACAGTTTCTACAATGTCTGAAAACCCTTGTGTTGTAACATAGAATATAACACAGCTTCTACAATGGCTGAAAACCCTAGTGGTGTAACATAAAATAAAACACAGCTTCTACAATGGCTGAAAACCATTGTGGTGTAACATGAAATATAACACAGTTTCTACAATGGCTGAAAACCCTTGTGGTGTAACATACAGCTTCTACAACGGATGAAAACTCTAGTAATGTTAAGTGAAATAAAACACATATTTTATACAAACAGTAAAAGATATATTAGTCTTAAATACAATTAAACTCATATTTCAAGCTTGTAGTAACATTAATATTCCTCTCGGACGTTACCATTTTTATTAAAACAGCTGAACGTCCGGACTGCACTTTCCCAAGCTTTCCTATATTTAACTCAGTATGTTTACGTAAATCTCGTGATAAATATATAAAAATAATTGTATTTTAAATTATTACAATGAATATTAATCAATCTCTGAATTGATTGGGTTTCTCTCTCCAATCACGGTTAGTTTATGTTAAATAATTATGTTGTATTCTTTTACCAGCCATAGCTAACGTAAGTACCTATTTTTATATTCATCTGGTTTCCTCAAGTTTGCTGACAGCGCGAGTAAGCTACCAAAAAGATAATAAACTATGACAGAACATAATGAAACCTTCATCAAAATGTGCTATTTATTTTAAATTTAAGTGCATTCCAGGTACATCCACATAAGATTTTATTTGAATCGTATAGTTAAATCCTATAATCAATTGAATTATCTACCCCTGTGAAAATGTTTTATTTGCATAACAATGCTGTTGTGGGGTCAAAAGGTAAACAAGGACATCACCTGTCTGGGCCTTTATTTTATCTAAAACGTGGTTAGAACATACAGTCTTCTTCTTCTGTAGCTTTTTCCCGTATCTATACGGGGTCCCTATTTTT